TAAGTTTGCAATAGATAACAATCATTGCTATAACACCCGTCAAAGAAATCCCTTGCAGCCTGATTTTCATCGCACATCTCTGTATCAAAGAAATTTTTATTGTGTTGGTTGTAAGCTCTATAATATTCTTGATGATCATATAAAATCATCCCCCAATGTTCACATTTTTAAATCAAGACTGAAAAAGATCCTACTTAGTAAGTGTTGTTATTCCATAGACGATTTCTTTTTATGATAATAATTTTTTGATTTTAAACTATATAATTGATTTTTTTATATATACATGTATATGTAAATTTGTATTGTTGACATGTCCTTGCTCAATGTAATAATGTAACTAAAATATTGACGTTTTTAATCATTTATGTAACCTTTTTGCATTCAATGATAAAATAAAGGAATATTATTATTATAATTATTATTATTACTTTATGTGATGTTCCGTATACGTCTTCCTTCGAACTCATAGACTTTTTCTTCGACTTGTAGTCTTCCCGATAAACTCCCGATAAACCCCAGAGTGACAGTTGTATAGTTAACACCACTCTTCCATGTGACGGCTCTGTCTCGTTTGGGCTTTCCTTCTTGCGATGCCATAAGCCATCGCGTTGGCAAGTTGTCCTTTTTTCTGGGGTTGGCAAACTGTATCTTCTCTAAGACTTCGCTCCGATCTAGGTGCATTCTTCTCTCCCTTTGATAGACAATTTTTTCGTATAACGTGACGCCCTGGATGTTCTCAACAATTTTTCGTAATTGTAGCATCGCCCCATTCTGGGGAATCCCGTTTGTCTACATAGTTCGATCAATGATGGTAGAACTAAGGCATTGGTCCTAGCTTATTTCAACTTAGTAACCAAATTCAAAAATTTTCAATTGTTTACTCATCGCTTTTCTACATATCTCACTACTTCGAGTTGTGAACTTATCATTGAACTAGTTCAGTCTGTCTCTGCACTTCGATGATCTCACTTGTATATACTATATTAGAAAGTTCTAGCATTATCAGGTTCGCTACACAGAAAAAATTTTACGCTCACCCGCGTAATGGGATATTACGCTTTGTTGCTGGACTTATGCCAGTGGCGGTTCATTCGTTTGCTCACCTTCCTAGATTTGCCATGCGTGTAACGCCCCCTCTATAAGTTACGTTATTTGAAGAAGTCAAATTGATCTTGTGAAAACCATATGAATTGGTCATTACCATTGTAGGAAACCTGTGTATCTATGTGAAAAATCAGTGGTTTGCTGCTTGGGGTTGCTGGATGCGATAGACAAAGTCGTTTTCTTTGTTGATCACCATGTATGGGCTACTAGGCCTAGTCGCTTTTTCATCCGGGGCTATTTCTCGTCTCTGTCGGTCTTCTCTTCGAGGTGCAAAAGAAGTAATCTCCCACTGGATCTTCAGAAAAAGATAGATATAAATAGCCTGTTGTATACTTCACTGTATGAAATATTTTGTCGAAAAACCAGACCTATGTTACTCTTGATGAAGAAATGATGAAGAGTTCCAGGAAATACCAGCATTCTGTTCATAGAGGCGCTGAGCGTTAACCATGTCACACTGCTTGACAATGTGAATATGAAATTTGAATATTTTCATTTGGAAATTAATCTTCTGGAGGAAATTACAGAGTACCCTGCCTCACTTCTTTTCTGTCGAGGACACCAAGCAGACAATCCATCAGGGTAGCACTCCGGCCGATGGCAATCTATAGGATCCTGAATCTGATAGCTTAATCTTGGAGAGTCGTAGTCACTATTCTGTTTAAGAACATGGCGTATATCCATACAGTTATGGTAGATTTTGCTAGGCTGCTTCGTTAGATTCATGCATTTCATTGTCAAATACTCCTTCGATATCGAGGGAGCATTATTCGAGTAATATTTTGAGATTTTTACTAAACAGTTCACGAAACCACAACACGTATTTAGCTTCTTCAGGCGTATTAAATACTTGTCACAGTACTGTTTGTACTGTTCGTGTACAATAGTTGAACAAACCTAAGAAACTATTGTATAGTGAAATACGTGTTTAGTTTCTACAGGCGTTTTCAATACTAGTCATACTGTTAGTACTGTTCGTGTGCAATTGTTGAATACGCCTAAAGAAGCTATTATATAGTGAAAAATGTGTTTATCTTATTAAATACTTGTCATACTGTTACTGTACTGTTAGTACTGTTCGTGTGCAATTGTTCAATACGCCTGAAGAAGCTATTATAAAGTGAAAATGCGTTTAGTTCATTCAATAATTGTCATACAGTTAGTACTGTTCAGTACTGTTCGTGTGCAATAGTTGAACACGCCTGAAGAAGCTATTATATAGTGAAAAATGTGTTTATCTTATTCAATACTTGTCATACTGCACACGAACAATTGCACACGAACAGTACTAACAGTACTGTTCGTGTGCAATTGTTAAATACGCCTGAAGAAGCTATTATATAGTGAAAATGCGTTTAGTTCATTCAATACTTGTCATACAGTTAGTATTATTATATAGTGCAAAATGTGTTTGGCTTATTCAATACTTGTCATACTGTTCGTGTGCAATAGTTGAACACGCCTGAAGAAGCTATTATATAGTGAAAATGCATTTAGTTCATTCAATACTTGTCATACAGTTAGTACTGTTCAGTACTGTTCGTGTGCAAGAGTTGAACACGCCTGAAGAAGCTATTATATAGTGCAAAATGTGTTTATCTTATTCAATACTTGTCATACTGTTAGTACTGTTCGTGATCTATGAACAATGAACAAATAACAATGAAATGGTAATGAAATACATTATCATGGATTTTCATGAATATCAGTCAAGTCCATCACATATGTTCCACCTAAAGAAATAACTGTCTAATGAATATCTCTTTATATATTAGGCATTTTCAATTTTTTGTTGTTACAGACTTCCATGGGAGCTTTGAGATTTTTTCATTTCGAAGGGTGAGTATACCAATATTTTTCAACAATGAGTGATGTGGCTTATCAAATCTGTGAATAACTTTCGTAGATCCTCTCAATACAATATCTATTTCACTCTGGTATAATGCATTAATTCCTCTTCAGTTTCGATGCCTCCTGAAGACCCATGTCTACGGAGATGACTAACAGGCAATCGTCATGGAAACTCGAATCCTGAAGCGTCGGTTGCAGATAACTGGCCTCCTAAATTAAGATGAAGTGGCATACGTTTGAGTCTCGTCTTTGTCCGTGTCTATCGATCCCGCTTTTATCTAGCGTGCCTCGTACACTGATTAGATTTTCGAAGGTGATCGATAAAAGACCGTCACACTCTTAGCGGTGTTTATTCAATTCAGTTCGATAATTATGCGTGTTGTTTCAATCAGAGAAACCTTCCTTTATACCACAACTAACACTTTTAGTTAGAATTACGTTACTTTGACATCCGATTAGGTTAGGTTAGGTTAGGTTAGGTTAGCGACATGGTAACGTAATATTTACCTCATATTCACCAATATGGTGTAAACATTCTAAGTCATCAGGCCGTAGGTGCCACTGGGTCCTAAAATTCTTAGTCCAGCCGCTTCCTTGGCTAAAGAGTCGGCAATGCGATTACCTTTACTCCTGTCGTGCCCTCTAACCCACCTCAGGATAATGTTATTTACCGAGGATTTGAATGTTGGGCATTTCAAGCACTGGGTGGTTTGAAATGGTCTGAAATTAGCGAAATACAACTAATTCTTCACCTTCAAGTAACCACATTATTTACTCACAAGAAGGACAAACAAAAAAATTTGATTTTGTAAACACGAACAAAGTGATGCGATAACAATAGCTACTATTTCATCAGTTCGGACTTCCATTGTCTAATATAATATAAATTGATTTGAAATCCCTGAAAAAAATAAAAGATTAATCGAAAATAACAATTTTATTTACAAATTAGTAGTGTCTGTAAAAAAATCAATCAGTGTGTCTATCTATTGACTGTTTTGAAATGTATGCTAGATAGGGATACTTTATTGAGTGTATATTATTCGTATGCTTACTCTGCGATTTCCTATAGTATCATAGTATGCGGGCAAGGGCGTGATAACCAAAGGGTGTTTGTATTACAAAAAAGAATATTGCGATTCATTTTTGACCTACCTTATCAAACTTCATGTCGCGATGTATACAAAAACCAAAAAATTCTTACTGTTACTTCTATTTACTTATATAAATTACTCAGCCATATCTACCGAAACCGAAATAAACTGCCAAAAAATTCTGATATTCACAACCACAACACAAGGCATAAAAACGACTTGTTGCAAAAAAAATTGAACCACACTTTCCACAAAAAATTACCTCTGATGATTGGAGTGTCTTACTTCAATAGGCTTCGTGATAATATAAAAAATAGTAACACGTACGGAATTTTCAAAAGTAGGTTAAAGAAAACTTTAACGAATCATTGTTTATATAGCTTAGGGGAATTTGATGACTTTCTTTCTAGCAGTGTTAACTGAGTTCATAGTGTTTATTGTGCTTTATGGTTTTTTATATTTATATCAACATGTCTTCTATACTTGTTTTTATGTGTCCTTAGGCTTACATCCTTACCAATATAGTATGTCCATGTATGTATGTGTATATATTCTATTTCTTCAATGTAAATGATTTTTAACCTCTAAACTAGTATTTTAGGAGTAACTTTTTTTTATAGTAAGTGTGTGGGTTTTACACCTCACCAGGCACGTCCAATCCATTGTATAACAGGAAAACGGATTTAATAACATTTGATTTGATTTGATTGATTTGATTATATGAATTACTATTTTATTATCCATGTAATAAGGCTGTAATAGCTTGTTTGGATAATAAATGAATCTTGGATCGCAGCGCGCAACAATTTGAATCCCCCTCGTAAAAGTCGAGCACTGGCCCGCGAATGAGCCGCGAGTTCTTTCACGGGCGTCCCTGGTCGGAGGAGAACCGCGGACTGTTGCCGAAGGAATCGAAAACTAGGTGAACAAGTCAGTTGCAAGCAAGTCCGTCATCACCATCACATCTCTAGCCGTGTAAACGTTGCTGCCAACCGACAAACTCGATGGTTCACTTGTTATCAAGGACACGATCGTGAAGGAGCGCCGCGAGTTTTCGTGCTTTCCGATTTTCCCACCATGATTTTCCTCGGTGGTGTTGTTGACAGGGACGCGAACGCTGTTTTTGCAGTGGTGGAAAAGTGGTGCGGGCGATAACCCAAACAGACGACAAGTTTTCCATATGTCGTTCGATGGATTGTGATCGGTTTGTGATTGTTTCAATTTTTTGTGATATTTATGTGTCAGATTGAGGATTACCCTTGGGATTACCTTCGGCCAGCAACATGCTTGGCAGATTCTATGACAGGAATCCGTTGCTGAAAGGAAATTTGAATAGGTGAGACGAATTATAGAACACTTTATTTCTAGCCCTTGGTAAGTCGACTGATAGGAAATCTTAGTAAATGACACAGCTGAAAATTGTACGAGGACTTTTTGAAAGAGTCATATTCGAGTGATGTTCAAGTTTTCTATAAAACTTCTTAAATTGTTAACTTTCAAAATGTGTTTCAAACGTTTCAAGCTGGGACTTTCATATTCCATAATAAACATATTGTTTCCGATACTCACAAAAGTGCTAACTGCTAACAGAATGCTCAAACAAAATTTTGCGAGAAAGAAAGGCTTTAGCTTTCTAATTTTTCATCTTTATACAAAAAAATGTGGGAATCTTCCAAAGAAAGGATCATGCAAAGAAATAACCTTCAGGCATAAACTGAAAGAAAAAGTCCTTCCAAAACAACTACTTTCATATGAACATTGAATTACACGACAGAAGAAAAACTTTCGAAATAACTAGTTTTATATGAAAACAATTTTTTCTATTCACTTTGTACTCCAAACTTTTGTTATCAGATGTCACTCACAGGATTGCTACACAATACGGTATACCAGCGAAGCGCCCCGGCTCCGCACGAGTGCAATGCTGATACTAAATATAAATTCACCCACTGGAAATTACAGGGCATGGAGAAACAGTGATGAAAAGATAATTTTGTTTTATAAATGCGCCCTTTTACCCCCACGGGGGGTGCTGCAGTTATAATATTTAAAAACCCTTGTTTATTGCACATCTATAACATAAAGCGAACCTTTGAACAAAAATTCTGCCTTCGAAATCATAGCGATACGGAAAAACAGTGATGAAAAGATAATTTTCCTATGTGGAAGGCTCCCCCTTTATCCCCAGGAGGCACCTCAGTTGGAATATTCAAAAATTTTTACCCCTACAGGGGGCGCTGCAGTTATAATATTAAAAAATCCTTGCTTATTGCACATCTACAACATAAAACAAACCTTCATACAAAATTTCAGCCTCTGAAAATATAGCGGTACGTAGAAACAGTTGTGTAAAAGAAATTTTTATATGTGAATGCGCCCCTTTTGCCCCTACGGGGGGTACTGCAGAAGATAATTTTCCTATGTGGACGGCTCCCCTTTTATCCCCAGGAGGCACCCCAATTGGAATATTCAAAAATTCTTTCTTATTGCACGTCTACAACTTAAAACGAACCTTCATACAAAATTTCAGCCTCTGAAAATATAGCGGTACGTAGAAACAGTTATGTAAAAGAAATTTCTATATATGAATCCGCCCCTTTCACTCCCACGGGAGGCGCTGCAGTTATAATATTTGAAAATCCTTGCTTATTGCACATCTACAACGTAAAGCGAACCTCCAAACAAAATTTCTGCCTTCGAAATCACAGCGAAACGGAAAAACAGTGATGAAAAGATAATTTTCCTATGTGGAAGGCTCCCCCTTTATCCCCAGGAGGCACCTCAGTTGGAATATTCAAAAATCCTTTTTACCCCTACAGGGGGCGCTGCAGTTATAATATTAAAAAATCCTTGCTTATTGCACATCTACAACATAAAACAAACCTTCATACAAAATTTCAGCCTCTGAAAATATAGCGGTACGTAAAACAGTTATGTAAAAGAGATTTTTATGTGTAAATGTGCCCCTTTTACCCCTACAGGGGGCGCTGCAGTTATAATATTAAAAAATCATTGCTTATTGCACATCTACAACATAAAGCGAACCTTCAAACAAAATTTCAGCCTCCGAAAATATGGCGGTACAGAGAAACAGTGATGGAAAGATAATTTTCCTACGTGGACGGCTCCCCTTTTATCCCCAAGAGGCACCCCAGTTGGAATATTCAAAAATTATTTCTTATTGCACATCTACAACATAAAACGAACCTTCATACAAAAATTTCAGCCTCTGAAAATATAGCGGTACGTAGAAACAGTTATGTAAAGGAAATTTTTATATGTGAATGCGCCCCTTTTACCCCCACGGGGGGAGGTGCAGTTATAATATTTAAAAATCATTGTTTATTGCACGGAAAAACAGTGGCCGGTATAAAATCGGCCGTCCACAATCGGTGTGTGTGCAATTAGCCTAAGACCTAAGAAGCACCTATTCAATCGTAACATAACGGAATTATGTCACGAATGAGTGTATTCCACTCATGTCATCGATGACAGTACGCCATGACATTCATTCGCTTATTTCATCTACTTCTAGCCATAAAAATCTTGTTCAGATTAAAAGGTGAATATTTTTAGGAGATATAATTTTTGGGATAGAAAGGATTTGGCTTTGTACTTCTCCATCTTTGTACCAAAAATCTAGAAGTACTTCAAATACGTGTAAATCATGATGAATTACTCTTTCATGAACTTTTACACGTATTACACTTAGTTATGAGGTATCGAAATTACAACATCTCGATTGATCTCGCGTAAGCCCCGGCAGGAAGCGAGTCTTAGACTAAATGCTGAAATGACGCTCTGTTGGGCAGAGAGCCGCCCGTTAACACCAGCGGGGGCGCCTCCCATTGGCCTGTCGTGGGTCTATGAGATGGCGCTTTACCCTGTGGACGTCCTGAGGCTCAATATGGAAATCTCATCCTGCTGATCCTCCCTTTTCCTTTACCAACCCTTTTCCTGCACCCCACCCACTCCCGTTTGTTGGAGAGATGTAAATATTGTGTATAAACTCTGTACATTCGACCTTAGATTTACTATAGAGAAATAGGCAATAAAGAATGTTTTAATTTTTCGATTTTAATTTAAAGCATGCAACCAAACCAAAACCACCAGAACATTCATGGGGAAAATGCTGAAGGAGCATGAAAAAAACTGCAGACTAGGCCAAACGGACGTGGTGGAGCACATACTTAGTGCTGGAAACCACAAGATTCTGTTTGATACCTTAGTAGACAGGTACAGGAGGCAATAGATATCCAAAAACATAGAGATAATTTCAACAGAAAAGAAGAAGCCGTGAATCATAACCGAAGATGGAATCCCATTCTTAGAATTTCAAGAATAGCAAACATCATAACGGCAGGTAGAGAAAGGTCGATGGATGTTATTGACAACTTACCCGATTCAGGTACAGGTATTAGCACACAAGGCTACCTGAGTCAATATAAAAAAGCTCTATGGTTTTAGCGGGGGATGACCGTTTGGCAGGAGTTGGTCGTTTCCTTAAATATAAAATTTAAAAAAAACTTATTATTTACTCGTACACGAATCCAGTCTATATCTTAATTAAATTGAACTAGACTACTACTGAATACAAACCGTTATTCTTACCTCTACGATACGATATCGATATCAGTTGAATATAATATTGAAATTCTTGAGAATGTGACTAACTTGAGGGTGAATTGCTTTATATTGCACAATTTCATCAAGTAGCTTATGCTTGTTGATGCCATAGTAACAAATGTTGTTGAATTGTATCTACTTGTCAGTTCGATTCAGTGATTCTTTGNTATATATATATATATAGAGATGTAGCCGTTACGACTACATGGTAGGAGTTCATGATGAAAAGAGAAATGAAAATTTCTAGGTTTTTTACCACATTTATAAAAGTGGTGAAGAATATAGAAATTTTCATTTCTCTTTTCATTTTGGTAAATCTTTTGAATTTTTTACAGATTCTTTCAGGGATTTCATATCCAATTTATATTATATCAGACAATGGAAGTCCGAACCGATGAAATACACCACGAAACATTGTCATTTTCCTGATTAAAAATTCTTCCGCTGAATTGTCACCCGAAAACAAATCCCACAACTGAAGATACATATTATAAGTGAAATTTGCTTTGGAAAGGAAGTCGAATGGACTCGTTGCGCAACTGTTTGCTGTGTAATTTTCAGTTTTGTTCGAGTTTATTTCCCATTCGTTCGATGAAACTTTCTTTTTTTCATGCCGGCATTATGCATAGTTGAATCGTCTGGATTGTTCCATTCGATAATTATTCATTTTAATTAGTTGTCGAATGCAGCAACCAATTTCACACGAAGTTGAATTGGAATAAAGTAACCGTGGAGGATGTTGGCTGGATGTAATCGAGAAGTTCTATTTTTGCGGACATAGTTTTTAGGTTGTTTCAAAAGTTTTTCGTTTTTATAATTCTACTGTGAACTGTAAAACTAATAATTGTTGAGAATATTCCAAGTTTCTTCAGTAAGTTATCAGGTTGGCGAGATATGTGTGTTGGAGAGTAGGTGCAGTGTGCAGTTTCGCAACTCATAACCATCCAGATTCTGGCATGGCTAAGGATATATGGTCATATTTCCGGATACCAAACGAGAAACGTAGACAGCTATTCTGAGTATGCTGTAGTTGAAGAGGATCCGATTGTCTCAAAGCAGGAAAAGCTGCCTGAGAACGTTACAAGAAGTTTGTTCAGATACCCGACTTGTTTAGTGAAGCAGAGTTCTGGATCAAACCACAATCCTATTTTTTTATATCGGTCACGGCGGAAAGTATTTCATTTTCAATGCTGACTTGAAAAGTGGAGTTTGTGAGCTCTCTATTCTTCTAAGGTCTAAATATCATTGTCGCAGATTTATTAGAATTGAGCTTGAGCGTATGAGCTGTAGAAATGTCAAAAATGGTTTAAAGATCGTTATAAACAGCAGCAGCAGTGATTTAAAGAGCAGATGCAGAATCACGACGCGGAAAAGAGAAATATAACTGCGTGTCGTATGCATAGTGATGTCTTTTGCGCATTTTTTTACAAATAGATTAAAATCAAGTGAGTTAGTTTGTCTCTTTCCACAATTCCGCCAATTCAATAAATGAAATACCTTCGTCTCTTTGCAAAACAATCCACCGTGATTATTTTCTGCGCCGCAATAAATCTGTGACCTTTTGTCTGTTTCATTTCGATTACCTGACCAAAAATTACAACATGAAGAAATGTTTCACAACAAAGTAGGTCACGCCGTGTTCTATAGGAAAATATATAGTAAACAAATATTTCCGAACTTTCGCCTAATTAACACATCTTCGCAACTATT